TCTGCCTGCCTCTGCCTCCCAAGTGCTGGGATTAAATCTGAGCGTCACCACCGCCCGGTTTACTGGCCAGGGAGCCTTAACAGTTATTTTTATATCTCATGTAATGCCCAAACTACCCTTTCAGACTGACTGTAGATTTGATAGAGGAGAAAACAAGGCTTGGAAGAAGAATCATTTACCCAGGGTCACAGTTAGCAGGTGGTAGGTGCCTGAGCATAAGCCCCTGTCTGAGGGCCAACAGATCTTGATTGTGACTGTCTTGGGAGGGGTGGGGGCTGTGGAAGCATTCAGTGTGACAGGAGACCATCCCTAGTGTCTGGGTCAGCTGGAGCAGCCGGGAGCTATCAGGAGCCAGGTGAGAACCAGGAAGGCAACCCGAAGGACCCGAAGAGTCTTCTTTGGCAAGGATTCAAATGACCCAAGTGTGGGCCTGCAGCTCAGATTCCCAGTTTGAGGGCCTTGGGCTAGCTTTATCTCTGTCACAGCATCCAGGATGGAAGTCAGTGATTTGGGAAGTGGTTGGCTTAGGAACTCTTGGAGATAGACTTGTCAGTGTCTAAGTATGTCGGCTAGGATCTCCAACTTGGAGTGACACTGGCTTGGGGGCTGCTGAGGTAAGGGTCCAACAAATGCCAGCCCTGTTAGATGTCTGCCTTGGAAGATTGGTAACTGAATATTAATGAGCTGGGGCCCAACAGTTGTAATTAGCACCCCAGGTGTCAGTCAGAAACCAACAAACAGCCAAATCCCTGCGGCTCCACCCAGCCTACCCAGCAACGGGGGTGATTAACCATTAACCCCCACTCCTCCCCACAGAGCCTCCACCCTCTGCAGAGGCTAGGCCAGGACGCCAGGCTGAGCCTCCCAGAGGACAGTTTGAAACAGAGGAAGACAGAGAAGGGACTTGGGAGGAGGCAGGGAGAGGGCGGGGACGGGGGCTGGGGCTCAGCCCAGGGGCTTGGGTGGCATCCTGGGCAGGGCAGGACAGGGGGCTGAGCCGCGGGTAGGGGAGAATGCGACTCTCTAAAACCCTCGTCGACATGGATATGGCTGACTACAGTGCCGCCCTGGACCCAGCCTACACCACCCTGGAGTTTGAAAATGTGCAGGTGTTGACCATGGGCAATGGTAGGTGGGGGCAGTTGTGCCCAGGTATGGAGTGGATCTTTGACACTGAACTTTGGGCTGGGAGGAGAAATATAGAAAATTGTAGGTTGGTCCTATAGGCTTGTACAGGTGTTGCCAGGGGAAGCAAGTGGGCCCACGTACTATGGCCAGAGGCATTCTGGTTGAGGGAGGCCTACGCAGGTAGATTTCCAACGGAAACAGTAGTCCCCAGATCGTCCCTATTTAGGCCCTGGGACCTCACACTGCCTTCCTTACCAAGTTACAGCAACAGGCCATGATGGTGAGTTTCCTTTGGGTGGCTGCAGAAATCCCACCCAACATGGCCCCATCTTCGGGCCCCTGACCTGTTCCTAGAGATGGTGACAGCAGGCATGGCTACATTTCAGGGAAACTGGAGTTCAGGGGTCGAGGGACAGGGATTTTTCAGGCTTCCTAGCTAAAAAGCCAACACAGCAGTGCGGTTTTACATTCATGGTCCTAGGTGTCCATGTAAGTGCATGGGTGGTATGGCAAATGGAAGAATACAGCTGCGTGTTTGTTCTCCCTTTTAAGTTCCTGCCCTGGCTTCAGCTCTGTGTGTTTATTGAATGGTTTGTGGTTGTATCTCCAGGGGCATTTGTTTTTCTTGCTTGCGTATATGTGTGTATGCATAGTGTCTGTGACTGTAGGTCATGGGCCTATAACACGTTTGATGTGGACTTGTGGACATGCCCTGTGCTTCCTGCCTGGTGGCCCTGGATGGCATTTTTCATATGCACATGTGCATACAGCCCCTGTGCTGTTGGGCATCGCTCTCGGATGTACACAGTTGTGTAGCTCCATTGCCCAGGGTTTTGTTTGTTTTATTTTATTTTGAGACAGGGTCTTTACTTTTCAGAACTGGCTGTTCTGAAACTCACAACATAGACCAAGCTGGCCTCAAAATCACAGAGATCCCACCACCACTGCCTCCCAAACACTAGGATTAAAGGGGTGCACCACCACACCTGATTTGGCTGCCTTTTTGTTTTGTTTTGTTGTTTTTATGCAAAGAATATGTTCCTGAGCTGGCCTGAAACTGAGAACATATTCCCAGGCTGGCCTGGAACTTGGGATCCTCTGCTCCAGCCTCCCAAAACATCAGGGTTATGTTGTGAGGGTCTTAATTCTTGCTATATACTAGACGTTGAGATTCACATCAATAGTATGTGTTTGTCTCTGAGCCAATTCTGTTGTTGGTGTATGTCACCCCAGTTCAAACATCTGCTCCAATATCACTGAGAATATGTCGGTAGGGGATAATGGTTTTCCTTTGCCAGGGGATTGAGAAGATAGGCTTCCTGGGGGATGGGAAGCTCCTGAGAGGGAGGGGACCAGGTTCCAGACTAGCCTTGCAGAGATGGCACCTGGCTGAGGCTGGCCTACCACCACCTTCCATCTGTGACTGACTGTACAGCAGATGTCAGACTACAAGGCTTAGGTCTGGAAAGCTGTATTCTCAATTTAGCTAGAAAGAAGAGGCAACGTGTATGCTCTGTCCATGGTCAGTCCCCCCCAGTTGCCTGCCCCTAATAGCTCTTGCTGTGTACAGTGTGTTCTTGGGCACATTACCCCCTCCTTTGTCTCTTGTGCAGTATAAAAATGGGTTCCTTTACTCCAGCCCTATTGGCCAAAAGCTTTCAGAAGGATGGACAGCTTGGAGGAGGAAAAACACACTGGAAGTGGTGAACAAGTGGCTTCTGCCCAGAGATGGAATCATGTGACCCCCCACAGGGACAGCACATGCTGTCACACTCCTGGCCACTACACAGCCCCTTCAGTACCTAGGAGTGCACCTGCAGCCAAGCCCTTACATGTCCTGAGGACACATCAGTCACCCCCAGCCCTGGAAAAACCCTTCCTCCCCAGCCTCAGTCTCTATCTGTAAAATGGAGATGGGTAGTGCATAGTATAAGGTTTACAAGAGCTTTCCTTGGTGTTTGATCCTGGCTCTGACATGGATGCTCTCTAGGACGCTACATATGATAGAAGGGTCTGTGTGCCCTGTTGGCGTTGTGGTTATAGGAGGTTGTCCTCCAAAGTGACTGGGGTCCATTCTGAGCTGAGGCTAGAAGGTTCTAATGATATCTGCTCCCACCTCCCATCCCCAATTCAGAAACGGCAGCAGAAGGGTCCTCACAGGTACCCGGGCATGGGCGGCATGGCCAAGCACAGCACACCACCCCATAAACCCAGCCCCCTCTGCTTGGCAGCAGTGTAATGACACTTGGCAAGTCCCTTTTCTCTCCGAGCCTCAGTCTTCTTAAATGGGAAATGGAAGTGGCCCTGCTGACCTCTGGGGAGATGATCCGGCTAACTATGCCCAATCCAGGCTGCCCAGGAAGAGGACACCTTGCCAGTCTCTGTCCGGAGTTGCGGGCTCAGCTCTCCCTGGGGGTCGAGGGAGGAGAGGCTGAGGGAGAAAGGGCACCAATGAAGCTTAACAATTATCCCTGCCTTGGGAATAATTCACAGCTGGAGGGGGCTCCACTGTGAACATTCAGGAGTCCTAGGAAGGGTTCAGCCAGGAGACAGCAGAAATGAGAAGCAGCTGCAAGACTCTGCATATGCTGCGAGAGTTCTCTTCTGCTGGGAGAGTAGCATTTAGTTCACAGACACAGATCTAGAACCTACTGTATGCCAAGCACTTCTGGCAGACTTACTGGACCTATGAACAGCTCAGAGAGATGGCTATGCTCCATCTGACAAGTGGGGGAGACAACAACAAGAAATAACCCGGTACCACCAGACCAATGGGGATTTGAGCCCATGCTACAGGGTTTCAGAGTCTATGCTTTAGCATGCCACAGCCCTCTCCCATTTGCAATAGGACATTCCTCTAGGAATCCAAGGTCATATACAGAATCTCTATGGAAAAGGCCCCCTCCTCTCTCTCTCTCTCTCTCTCTCTCTCTCTCTTTCTGTGTGTGTGTGTGTGTGTGTGTGTGTGTGTGTTGTGAACATGCATGAACTTTTGTTTTGGGGGAATTATTATAGAGTTTATCATCTTCTTTTTTGAGACAATGTCTCAAGAAGGCAGACTGACCTCGAACTTACTATGTAGCTGAGGCTGGCATTGAACTCTCAATCCCCCTGCTTTTACCTCCCCAGTGAAGAAATTTCCTAAAGAATTTATCTGTGGTGGAAGATTTGCCATTAGAAAAAGAGAGATCTTCTGCTGACTTTTATTTTCTTTAACCTAAAACTAACCAGACCAGTTAAACTGATCCCTTTTGTAGCTGGGGAAATTGAGGGCAGGGGAAACTGGAAGTGGGAAAAGGAGCTGGCCTAAGACCAGAAAGAAGCTGGTACAAAGGCCCAGGACTCCTGACACACAAGCTGAAACCTCCTTGGCCAGAGGTCTTGAGTGCCCTCCTCACACTCTCATGGGGAGATGGCTGTGGTCAGCACCCAGCCCCAAGGCAAAGAAAAGGATGTTCTTGGTGTATACCTTTCCCCTCCTTGGGAGATTCTGTGGAGTCTGAGGCTAAACTCAAGTACCCCTGGGCTAGTTCTCCTGATAAGGGTCATCGCTGTCCTTTCTGAAGCTCCCAACTTGGAGTCTGTAAGTGACTGCTGCTAAGTGGTGGTCAGTTTTCACTCCTTCCTGAGGCAGCTGGTGCGAAGGCTTCCTTCTCTGTGGAGAAATAAGTCCTTGCAGGTGCCCCAAGAGATCAGCAGTTGGTTCTGATTTACAGATTGGAAACTGAGACTCTGAACACAAGTGAGTCTGTGAGCAGAAGGGTGGAGTGGACATTGCTTCCAGCTCTGGAGACCCCGCTATAAGTCTCAGGCTTTTGTTCCCCCTCACTCTCTGCCCCTCCTGGGTTATCACTCATTCTCTTTTGTTGCAGACACATCCCCGTCTGAAGGTGCCAACCTCAACTCATCCAACAGCTTGGGTGTCAGTGCCCTGTGTGCTATCTGTGGAGATCGGGCCACAGGCAAGCACTACGGAGCCTCGAGCTGTGACGGCTGCAAGGGATTCTTCAGGAGAAGTGTGAGGAAGAACCACATGTACTCCTGCAGGTGAGGAGCCAGCTTGGGCCTCGACTTACCCAGTTGGGACATGGGTATATTGGGATTCATGTCCTCCAGGGGTCCCTCTTGAGGCATCTGCCCTTCCAGACCTTCAAAGATAGTCTGGTTTCTTAGTATCTGTCGATCCAGGTAGGATCAGCTACTTTAGCGGTTGCCTACAAACCTGAGAGAGGATAGGACCAGCCCTCCAACCTGCTTCTTTTTCTAGGTTCCAACAAGGCATTGGCCCTAAGCCTTTCCACCCTATCACCATGGCCCCCAAGATTCTGAAAATCTCTCTTTCAAATGCATCTCTCGTTTTTGGATAACAACAGTAAAACATTAGCAGTGGTTGGCTGAGTCCCATGCCAAACCTATAATATCTCATTGCCCCCTGTCAATGCCCTTCCAAGGTGGTCACAACTATTATCCTCATTTTGTAAATGAGGAAGCTATTTCTTGGAGAGCTAGGAATTTACCTGAGGCCAACCAATTCAAATAAGTGGTGGAGGCAGTGTTGAAACCCATCCCTCCCCAATAACCTTACCTTTATGCTTTGTGAGCCAACTACTGACTCTAAGCCACAGCCAGCAAGCCTGCTATGGGCTGTGGGCTCTCATAGTATGTAGTGGGAATAACTATGCTCTGGTGCAAGAGAATAATGTTTCTAACCCAGCTCCACTGACAGTCATCTGAGTGATCAAAGTCACATGTCACCTTTCTGGTCTTCCGTTTCCTGTGTTGAGTGGGACAAATTGGACTTTTGGACGGTCTATAGACCCCTCTGGCTTCTGATGGGTTTAACATTTGAACTCACGGGGTGCAGAGATGGAGCAAGGAAGCTGGGAGTTGGGTCAGGGTCAGAAGTAGCCAGGGTCCTCATCCTGCCCTAATGGGGGGAGGCTGTGTCTTCTCCATCCTACCATCCCACGTCCTCTCCAGATTTAGCCGACAGTGTGTAGTGGACAAAGATAAGAGGAACCAGTGCCGCTACTGCAGACTCAAGAAGTGCTTCCGGGCTGGCATGAAGAAGGAAGGTGAGCCTCAGCCCTCCCTACACCCCTGCCCCACCTGCACCCGGCTCCAACCAACCCGGCATTTACAACTAGAGCCATACTTTATGGCTCCTCCACAGGCCCTGGGATGACTGGCTAATGGCTGAGAGGAGGGAGGGCCTGGGGATCTGACCACAGGGAGTGGCTGGGCTTGGTCTTGAGAAAGATTCAGAGATAAAGCTCCCACTCACTCACTTCAGCTCCCAGCAACTGCCACTGGGCCTTCCTGTGCCACCATGAGGCAGCCAAGATGGATGCTTTTTCTAATGGATACTGAAAGCATTAGGAAAAGCATAGAACACCACATGGCAAACACCCAAGCGCCGGCCACCAAGACTTCACAAATACGACCAGAGGACCCTATTTCAGGTGTCCTGTCCAAGGACAAGCACCCCAATTCCCTTAGTCCTCATTTCTGGGTGTCAGGCAATCTCTAGAATTTTCCCTTTGCAAACAGTGGGATGAGACCCCAAACTAGTCCTGATGGTAGAGATGCAATTTCAGAACACAGTCTAAGTCTGCCCCAGCCAAGTCAGACACATGCCATCAGACACGGAGTTGGCTCTTTCTCAGTGGTTCTTCCTCTTTCATTCCTGTGACAGTTCTGTGAGGCTGGAACGAGCACTGCCCCCTTTTCATGGCAGAAGGAACTGAGGACCACAGTGGTTAGTCACCTCGCTGAAGCCCCCATGGCAGTTACTGGAAGAGCAGAGGTCCCAAGCCCAGGTTCATGCCATTTGAACACCTCGGCGCTGCCTACACTGTGCCCTCCAGGCCTCATTTAGGAATTGTTTTCAGCGGGCAGAGCTGTAGCATGGTGGTAGAGTCATTGCCTGGCAAGCATTCAGGGCCCTGGGCTGGCCCCAGCCTACAAAATGAAGAAAGACAGAGAGACAAACAGAGACAGAGAGACAGACAGACAGACACAGAGGCAAGGTGAGAAGGAGGGAGAGAGAAAGGGAAAGAGGGGGGAAAGAGGGGAAAAATTATTTTCCTCTTAAGCTCAAAAATTAAAAAAAAAACCTTTAAACTCTTTTTTTTTTTTTAAATAACGAGTTCATTTCCAAATCTCTTCCCTTCTCTCAGCTCACTTTTCCCATTCAACATCTACTTCCAGCCTATAATGTGTTCTTCTGGCCAGACCCTCAGTCTAGTCCTGTGGGAACACACACACACACACACACACACACACACACACACACACACACACACACACACACACACACACACACCGGGACCCAGCCTATCCGAAGCCTAGCAAGACGGAAGGGGAGCTAAGCATGACAGTCTCTGCTCTCCCATTCTGAGATTATTCTTACTGTCTGTCCCTCCGAGGGTCCTTGCAGGTCCTCAGTGCAAGTTCAGGAGTTTTGTTAGAAAATTAGAGCCCAAGAATCCTACTACACACACCATATTCTGGCAGACCTCTGCTTCTCTGATGGGGGCGGGGCTTATGCTCCCCTCTTCCCCTGCTGCTTCCCATGGGCGGCTCAGGCATCTTCTCATTGAGGACTGCTCTGTGGAAGGGGATCGAGCTGCATATGCCAATGTTAGAGACAAGATAAATGACTGCAGCCAAGGGCCTCGTGTTCTTCATTCTGCTAGCCAGTGATTCTGTTTTCCAGTCCTCTGTGACATTAAGCACAATGACTGCCCATAGGACATTGTGTTTGAGAATGCACCTCTCCTGTAGGGTGATCAGCACTTGGGAGAAAAGCAGACAGACCAATGGGGCAGGCCGATGGCCAGCTAGTAAGTCTGCATGTGGTCATGTGTCTTTTGTTAAAGTTTCTGAGGGGAAACTGAGGGAGGCTTCCAGCTCCTCAGTGATCCATGAACCAAGTGACTCTAGATCCCAGCTCCTGAGAGAAGAGGAGCCCACCCACCCAACCTTAGCTCAGCCTTGAATTGAACTGCTTGCTTCTTGGGCTGAGAAATCAACCTGCCAGGAGGACAGGAGGGCCACCATGTCACCAACAGAGAGTGTTGCAGCCAGTAAATGCTCCTGTGTGTGTGTGTGTGTGTGTGTGAGAGAGAGAGAGAGAGAGAGAGAGAGAAGGAGAGAGAGAGAGAGAGAGAGAGAGAGAGAGAGAGAGAGAGAGAGAGAGACTCACCTACATTATTGCGGGATTGTGAGGTACAATTAGACCAGGAGTGCAGAGCGTTCTGGACCACCACAGGAAGGATATTGCTCACTCTGCCTAAGTCATAGCATCCCCAGTACCTGTCCTCAACTTAATAGGAAGATCCCAAAGTCACTGACGGGGTGATTAGGGACACGTTTTCACTTATTTTCCTATCACCCACTCCTGCACATGGACTTAGGAACTGATACCCTAAAGTTCTCAAGGGCCAGAAAGTGAGCTGTAAACAGGGTTTCCAGAGCAGCTTGGGCTAGTAAAGGAAGATCAACCCAATACTCAGGTGAGGAAACTGAGGCAAGAGAGGTGATATGACGAGTTGGGGTGGGGAGAGATTTACGGCTCAAGGTTGTGAGAACGAAGCCTCAAGCTCTCTGGACTGAAATTTGGGAAGATCCACTTAGGGTGGCACATTCTGTTCTTGGTGACAAATCTCCCGCACAGCAGAGAGCTCCAGAGAGATCTCACAGGCCTGGAAGTCCATCCTGGGCAGAGGATATGCCACAGGGGGCTTCCCTGGAGGGCAAAGACTGGGGATGGGGAAGCCTGAGGGTGTTAGTGAACAAGCAAACAGCTGGTGAGAAATTCTGTCCTGTGACTAAGTCAGGGAGAAGAACAGCTGCCCAGCCTTGGCTCTCAGGCATCAGAAAGCCAGGCCAGAGAGAGACCAAGAAGTGCAGAAGGAGCATGGCCCATCCTGTAGGACCGTCCTCACAAGCCCAGCTCAGCCCCCAGGCCCACCCAGGGTTCTCTAGGAAGCCAGGCTCATGTCCTCTCCACCTCTGTCCTGCCGGTTAATATTCAATGGAAGTTACATTAGGTCCCCGACCCTGCTAATACTGCGCAAACATTAGGAAAACATCATTCCGTGACTGAACTCGCTCGGTGCTGATAAGGCCACGCTAACCTTGAGGAGCTCTCTCCACAGCTGCTGACAACAGTCTTTCATTCGCCCGCCTCCCCGCAGCGCCCAGTGGGGGCAGGCGACAGGGCAGGCTGGGTTGCCAGGGAGGGGTGTGGCAGGCTGGTACAACCGATGCAGTGGTGGGGACTTGTATACCTCAGGGTCTCTGTCCTACGCTGCCTGACTTTCCTGTCTCTGGGTTTTTGTGACAAGGTCTCACTTTTCTCTTTCCTTTACTTTTTTAGATTTATTATTATTATGATTAATTATTATTGTGTGTGTATATGGGTGTGTGCGTACAGCAATGAGCACGTGTATGCACTCGAAGACACTTTCAGAAGCAGAAGAAGGGGTGCTAGATCCCCTGGAGTTTGGAGTTACAGTTGCTTGTGAGCTACATGACGCGGGTGCTGGGAACCAACTCGCATCCTCTGTGTGCAAGTGGTCCATTCTCTCATCAGCTGACCTATCTTTCCAGGCCCCAGCATCTATAATCCAAGCTGGCAGACCCTCCTGCCTCAGCCCCCCAAATGCTGGGATCACAGGCATGAGCCACTACTCCCGGCTCTGGATTTCGACATTCTGAAACCAAGAGGGAGTTGAAGAGTCAGTGTTCCTTGAAGTCATATGCTGTCTTATCCAGTGACAGTGACATCTTCACTCCACAAATATATGCTGCATACCTACTGTGTGTTAGGGTATGCTTTAGTGGCCAGGTTAACAGTGAGAAAGAGAGAGGAAGGTCTGGCTTTTGGGAGCTTTGGAGCTAGATAGTAAAGAATTCAGCAAATAATGCTACAATAGATACCTTGGGGAAATTTAAAACAGAAGAGGGCAGAGCCTAGGGTACTACACTGTCAGAGGAGGTTGAAAAAGCACCTGAGGTAACTTTTTTTTTTTTGAGAAAGGGTTTCTCTGTGTACCCCCTGGCTCTCCTGGAACTCTCTGTGTAGACCAGATAGCCTCAAACTCATAGAGATCTGCCTGCCTCTTCTGAGATTAAAGGAGTGGGTGACCACTGCCTGGCGATATTATTATTATTATTATTATTATTATTATTATTATTGTTGTTGTTGTTGTTGTTATTATTATTGGTTTTTCGAGACAGGGTTTCTCTGTGGCTTTGGAGGCTGTTGTACTGGAACTAGCTCTTGTTGACCAGGCTGGTCTCGAACTCACAGAGATCCTCTGCCTCTGCCTCCCGAGTGCTGGGATTAAAGGCGTGCACCACCAATGCCCAGCCAGCGACATTATTTTTTAAAGACTTGCTTTATTTTTAATTGTGTGTCTACAGACATAGACTTGAGTGCAGATTCCTGCAGAGCGTTTGTGAGCCACCCGATAGGAATTCTGGGAACCAAACTCAGGTCCTAGAGTAGTACATTCTCTTAACCACTGAGTCATCCTCTGACCATTGAAGGTGATGGAAAGGGGGGTGTGAGGCGTCAGGAAAGGCTGGGCAAAGGCCCTGGGCACATGTGTGGCCTGTGTGGGTATCTACACAGAGGGAGAGGCAGTTGTCGGGGACAGACTGAGTGAGAGGGAAGTAGTAACGGGGAGATGGCCGTGTGCATCCAAAGGAGCCTGATGAGATGGTAGGACCTCCATTGTGACCTGGATATATTTAGGTTGACCTGAGAGCAGTTCAATCCCAAAAGTAAAGCCAGAAGCCTCTGGTCTCAGGACCTCTAGGAGGTCCTGGTCCAGCCCATGGGAGAGTGTGGGGCCTTTGGGAGCAGATCAGGGTCTTCTGTGTGATGAGCATCACAGCAGGTCCCCGTGAATGAACCAGTGTGTGTGTGGGGGGGGGTGTCTGTGTGCAGGGAAGACACAGCCTGCCAGTTCCCAAGATGGAAGATGGGCAGAAAGCAGGCTAAGGGGTAGGAGCTTCAGATAGATGGGGAGACAGAGGACCCAGGGAAGGTATTCCAGCCATCACAGAGTGAGAGCTCTCTGCAGCCTCACACTCCCTCCTCTTCCTTCCATAGTGAGGAAGGGGGGCAGGTGGGACAGTGAAAGGATGTCTGATACTTTAGGCCTGTGCTGACTTGGCTAGCGGTGGGTGGTGGGCTGGAGGTCTGGGAGGCAAGGCCTTCGGTCCATGGATTCTGGAGAGTTCCTGGTGTGGGAGGAAAGAGACTGCCTTCTCCTCTTTTCCCAGGTTAGTGTAGAGAGCAGGGTTCCTCCCAGCAGACAGTCCACTAAGGCAGCTGGGCCTCCAGGTCCCAGTCCAGGACTTCTGCCTGGCACTTAGGAATCCCAGGGTCATCTCTGTGTCACCAGGAAAAAAGAGTTGCTCATCTGGAAGGGAAGGGACCAGGTGGCTTGCAAGCAGAGAATGTGGATCTGGGACGGTGGCAGATGCTCACTGTATTGCTCCACTGAGTTATAACTAACCTTCCCCTGGTGTTGGCCTGTCATTCCTTCAGCCTTCTTATTGTATATAGGGCAGGGGGAAGTTTTGGTGTGTGACAAGCTTTGCAAATTGAGTTAGGAAATGTCACATGTGACAGGCAAAATGACTCAGCGGGACATCTGCCACCAAGCCTGACAACAACCTGAATTTGATCATTCCTGGGACCTATATGGTAGAAAGAAAGAACTGATGCCTATAATTTGTCCTCAGACATGCGCGCGCACGCGCGCGCGCACACACACACACACACACACACACACACACACACACACACACACGGTAAATGTCCCCCTGCAGCACTCTGGCAGCCCCAGCCCAGGTTGAACCATCTCCTCCCACATCTCCCAACTCCTTAATGGTTGTGGAACACCCTCCCTCCTCTCAGTGCTCCTCCTTACCTCTCTCTGCCTCCTCATAGCCGTCCAAAATGAGCGGGACCGGATCAGCACTCGGAGGTCAAGCTACGAAGATAGCAGCCTGCCGTCCATCAATGCGCTTCTGCAGGCAGAGGTCCTGTCTCAGCAGGTACCAAAGGACCCTCTCATCTTCCTGGGCTCCCTTTCAGGGAGACCTCACTTGTACCTCAGCCTCCTCCTGCCAGACCCTGGAGCCCCATGTGGAAAGGGCCACAGAAACTGCAGAAGGAGAACTGAACCCAATGCCACACACTGGTTTTGTGACAAATAGAACCTAGATCTGGCACCCTGGGGGCACTGTCTAGTTCATCTCCGTGGCCATGTTCACTCAAGTGCTCTCCTTGAGGGCTCAAGAGAAGTCCTACCAAAAGGAAGTAATCGTTGCAACAAGGTAGCAAATAGGCTTAGCCAACCTCGGGCTGCGTGACCTCAGGCAAGTCACAGTGCCTCTCTGGGCCATGGTGACTTCGTATATGAGATGAGGGTGATGCCCTGTTCCTCTCTTACACCCAAGGAGTTACTGAGACTTGGAGGAACTAGAAGAGATGGGAGCGGGGTAGGCAGTGGGTGGTGGTCCAAACGGAGTGCTCCCCTGCTTATGAGTCCTCCCTGTCCCTTTGCTCAGAGCTTCCTACTGTCCTGGCAGTACATGGAGTACAGCTGTTAGCAGACAGGGGACTTCCTAGGGAATGGGCTCTGTGCAAGGGACAGGAATTTCAGGGAAAACCCGCCATTCCCAGCATTTTCTTGTCTCCTACAGATCACCTCCCCCATCTCTGGGATCAATGGCGACATTCGCGCCAAGAAGATCGCCAACATTACAGACGTGTGTGAGTCCATGAAGGAACAGCTGCTAGTTCTGGTCGAGTGGGCCAAGTACATCCCAGCCTTCTGTGAGCTCCTTCTGGATGACCAGGTAAGGGCCCATGTGCTGGGAGCGGAGGTGGCTGCTGGGCCATCAGGGTCCAGTCGACCTACCCAAGACAGCCTTGGACTGATTTGATTTGATTCAATGAAACATATAGCACTCATGTGCTCCCAGAACTGTTTAAGTAACTCTACAAATATTAACTTAGTCCCCCTAAGGGCTATTAAGTAGGAATGTTTCCCATCTTCCAGGTGAGGAAACCGGGGCACAGAGAGGTTAAGTAAATCACTCAAGGTCACACAGCCAGTAACCAACATAACTGGGATTAGAACCTGCCAAGGACGATCCAAAGTCCAGACTCTTAATCAGCGCATCATTCAGCATTCCTGGTGGTGTTGACAGGGATCTGAAACCGGGGATCAGGAGATTTGGACTAAGCTCTGGGCGATTTTGGGCAAATTACTTTGCTCCAAGGCCCAGTGTTCTTATCTACCAAGTGGAAGTTATTTCTCCAGAGTGTTGTCAGAACTGGGGCCATTCTTGTTTGAAAAGTGCAGGATGATGCAACAGCATTTCAGCTGGACTCCGCTGCCTGCCCCAGTGTTGTTTCTTGCTTTTCCCCGAGATGCTTTGTCAGCATTTGTGTTCCAAGACACCTTCTCCAGACTCCCAAAATGGGTCCAGGGCAGGGAAGTACAGGGTTAGGAGGGCTGTGTGCATCTTTGGATGGATAAGTTTCTGAAATGCACACACTCCCCTTGGCCTCCACAGACATCTTCCTGCCTGGGTAAGGGGGAGGGACCAGTCACCTTCCCAGCATTGAAAGCCCCAGGTCTTTGCCCATGAGTTTGATACTACAGCATCTTGTGTCTTGTTATTTGCTTGGGGGATTGTTTTTTGGTTTGAGACAGAATTTCTCTGTGTAGCCCAGGTTGGCCTGGAACTCACTCTGTAGATCAGGCTGTCCTTGAACTCACAGAGATCTGCCTGTCACGGCCTCCCAAGTGCTGGAATTAAAAGTGTGCTTCACCACGCCGGCTGCATAGTTTCAGTGTTTCAGAGAAGTCATGAAGCCCCGTGGTTGTTCCTCTCTGCAGAATCTGGGTCCTCCCACGCCTCTTTAAACACCCATAAAAACACCATGGGGCACTCTAGGTCAACACTGGCTTGTCTGCTCCTTGGCCTTCTTCTGGTCTGTACTCCAGACACATGTCTCTCCTTTGGAGAGCTGACAGTCCGGGATCATGTCCAAGCTGTCCCTGCTTTCTCCCACTCCTCCTCGTGCCTCAGCCCCGTGCCTCTGCTGGAGAGCCTGAATTAATGTTTAATCCCCCCTGTTCCTTCCCAGGAACTTAGCTGGACAACAAGATACCCCCAAGCTGAGCAATTGTTAACCTCCGTTTCCCACCCAAACCTCCCTGGCTGGGCTCAGAGCATTCTCGGAGAGCAGTGATGGGTGGCCAGTAACATGGGCCAATCATTAATGCTCCCTTGCCTGCCCACACCCCACAGCTGTCATGTCTGAGGGTTGGATCTGGGAACCTAGTCATGATACATAAGGAGACCATATTGCCTAGCATGCTGAGGCTATCTGTGAGATTTGGGGACATGGCCTTCCAAGGGACTTGTTACAGGGACCATCTTCTTGTTATGCCTGGATAGCCAATTCCTGAATCTGGAAGGCCAGGTCTAACTGGATAAGCGGACTAAAGCATAGAGAGAGAAAGAGATTGGCTTACATCTCAGAGCACATTGGCCACCACTCTGGGATTTGACTCAGTCCTCTGTTCTGGGGTCTAAGAGCCACAGAGCTAATGGTTGAGAGCACCACAGTGCCTTCCAGGTAGAGAGGGCTCAGTGATTAGCGTCTTCCATATCCCTCTCTATTGGTCACAGAAAATAGTGTCTTACCTCCAAGCTCTCCCATTCCTCCCCACTTTTAGTTTCTCTCGTGGGTTCCAGCCATGGTGGATTGGAAAGGCTTCATAACGGGCAGGCTCAGGAGGAACCGGAATTGGGAGGAAGCCAGGGTGCTGGCTCAGTCATTCATTCCATTCTTTTCTTCATTTGTTTCACTAAAGATCTGCGTGATCCCTGTGTTCTGAGGAGCTTCTGGGCTGTTCAGCAAGTCACCTCTTTAAAGAGGTTTGCCCTGCTTTCCTGTCCACACAGCCTCTCCCATATCACTGCTCTGTGTTCCCTTCCCTCCCCTCCCCTCCCTTCCCTTCTCCCTCCCTCTCTCTCTCCCTCTCCCTCTTCTCTTCCCCTTCATTTGCCCATTGCAGCACCCCCCCATTCCCTTGCCCGCTTTATCATTCCTTTCCCCCCACTCTCAGCCTGGCAGTTGTATGAGCTCAGAGACTCTTGTGCCCCACTCCGTCTGGGAGGGGCGGTGCAGTGGTTCAACAGGTAAAGGCGCTTGCTGTCAAGGCTGATTCCCAGGACCCACAGAGTGAAAGGAGAGAATCGCTGTTCTCTGCCCTACACACACACACACACACACCAATACATTTGTTTTAGATGAGTGACACATTGGAGGCATCTAACATTTGACAACTAAATGAATGAGCACCCAGCAGCCCCTGACCTTCCCAGCATGGCTTGCTAGCTGCAGCCTCCCACAGAGTATGCAGATCCCCAGGGCCACCAGCCTGCTGCCATTCTTTGGTCTTCACACAAGCACTACGACCAATGGCTCTAGAGCACAATGTCCTGTGAGGCAGCCAACTTGACCTCAACTTCAGTCTTCACAGACTGCCATGGAAAGACAGGGCATGGTGATGCCCTTTACTTACATAAGCACATTGTAAGAACACACGTATGGAAGCTCATGAGGTTTCTCTGAAAATCCCAGATTCTTACCGTGTCAGCAGAATGGGCTCTGCAGAGATCTTTAGCATCAGTGACTTTCTAAACTCAGTGGAGCTTTGGGATCAATAGGGAAGCTTGTTGCCTACATACCCCAGGTCCAGCTCATGCATATAGAATCAGTCACCGGCAGTTGAACCCAAGACTATGACTTTCCCTAAAGTGCCTTAACAGTTCCCTACAGCTGGCACATGGGTAGGAACTTGGAACCCACAGTTTTAAAACATCTGGGACAAGCTGACACTCTTTGAATGTCTGGTTTGAGGCATGCACATCATGTATGGCCTATGCCCTGATGAGGCCAGGGCACAGCTCTTTCCCCAAAGATGGAGACACACTGGTTCAAGAGCAGAGTGAACAGGAGGTGCCCTGGTTGGGAGAGCACATGCTTCCACCTTCCTGGTCTCTATAGAATCCTCCCCCATGGTCCTTGCTTCATCAGTCATGAGAGGTAGGCAGAGGTTTTGTGGTGTATTTTTCGGAGCTCAGGTAAATAAAGGAAGAAGGGACATAGTACTGCCTTGCCAAGGCCACTGACCTGACTCTGAGCAGCCTTCCTGGGGTGCAGATGCTAAGCTTCACCCTGCCTCTCTTCCAGGTGGCCCTGCTCAGAGCCCATGCTGGTGAGCACCTGCTGCTCGGAGCCACCAAGAGATCCATGGTGTTCAAGGATGTGCTGCTCCTAGGTGAGGAGGCTGCCAGTCCCAGACAGAGATTGAGGGATGGAACCCAGCTTGGTATACCCACAAGGGAAGAGTATCTCCATGGTAACACACAGGGACCAGACAGGAAGATCAGAAACATCCAAACTGGATGTGCTGTTGTAAACCTATAATCCCAGCTTGTTTAGGAAGCTGAGGCAGGAAGTTTACAAGGTCAAGACATGTCTGGAATTACATGCCATGCACTACATGGAGGGCTCAGGTCAGCCTGAGAAACCTAACATGAGCCTATTTTCAACTAAAATTAAAAAATAATTTTAAAAAATCTAGCAACTATCAGTTGAGAGTGCACTAGCAATACCTTGGACTGGCAAGATGACTCAGTGGGAACAGCACCTGTTGCCAAGACTTACAGCCTGAGTTCAAGCCTAGGAACCCATGCGGTGGAAAGAGAAAACCAACTCCTGAGATTGTGCACTGACCTCCACGTGCACACTGAGACACACAGAATAAATAAATAAATAAATAAATAAATAAATAAATAAATAAATGCAATTTAGGAAAACTTTTAAGGGGAGCCTGGAGGTGCAGCTCAGTGGTAGAGCATATGCACCCCCCAGCACCACAGCAAAATTAAAACAAATGTAGCCCAGCCCTGTTCTTAAGCTTGACCAAAGTATAAGGCTCCAGAACCCAGCTCTCAGGTGATTCCCCAACTCAGATGTAGGAAATAGAGTTGCAAGAGAGGGGGTCTTCTAGACTTCCAGTTAGAGAGCAATCTGTTGTCCCTGGAATTTCAAGTACATTTCAAAGTTCTTTGTGGGGTTGAAACAAAAGATGGCTGGGAATGACTCAGCCTCCAGCCCATGTCACCTGGGTCTTTAGGACATACTTATTATTGGAATGCTTGTGTAATACACCCTATATGTCAAGGACCATGTTATCCACCAGACAAATGTGTATGACCTCTTTCAATACAACAACCCTAAGATAGTTGTTAGATATTCCCATTTTTATAAATGAGGAAACTGAATCACAAATAAGTCAAGTATGTTACCTAACCACACCCAGCCATAAGTGACAGAACCATTCAGATGGGGTGACCCAGTTCTGGAATCTGTCCCTTGACCTTGACACTTTAGTGCCTCCTGAGTGGGCCTTGGCTTTCCTTCATCTTGAGTCATGCAGGTAAAAGGAGTTTGGGGGAACATGAAAGGTCTCTGAAAAAGCCAAGTTCCTAGCTCACCCAGAACTTCAGGCATTCACCTTCCTCATTGGCCTCAGATTTCTGATTTGTAAAATGGGCTTGGTGATCCCAGTAGCTCCTCCCAGGAATATCAGGCACACTCTTAACTGCAAATCACAACAGGGGTGACAGGGGACAACCAAGGCAACAGCCCCATCTTCTCCCCTCCACCCATCCAGGCAATGACTACATCGTCCCTCGACACTGCCCAGAGCTAGCAGAGATGAGCCGAGTGTCCATTCGCATCCTTGATGAGCTGGTCCTGCCCTTCCAGGAGCTGCAGATAGATGACAATGAGTATGCCTGCCTCAAAGCCATCATCTTCTTCGACCCAGGTACCATCCACACCTCCTAATCTGTCCTTCACATCCCCAGACCTGCTGTCACACCCCTTATATATAGGCTCACAACCTCTTGGATTGTCATGACAACCAGAAGTTATTTTCATCAACCCCATCGAGCAGATGAGGCAGACTAGGGTTCCCGGGAAGGAAGGACTTTACAGGGCACAGACTGCAAAAGCCTGGGTTTTACATTTTCCATCTTCACCCTTAACATCCTTTCTCCCACCCTCCATTATTGGTGCTCTCCTGTCTCTTGTTGATTACGTCTGGAGCTTTCAGCAGCCTGTCAGCCACAGGCAGCATCTTCTACTCTTCAGTTGTTGAGATGAGGATGCTGCATCCTCTTCCTTCAGGTTCTCTCTGTCCTCTCCCTATTGGTTGTGTTGACTCTTGTCCCTGAGTTTGCACTGTATGTCTGTAGTCACATCTTTGTACAAAGCCTGCTTTGTTTCTCAGTATCTTCGGTCTTACCTGCTTAAGTGGGCTGGGCACTCGGCGCTGTCCTTGGTGCTAGTCCCTGATTTCGCAGAGATGACCTCTAGCAATAAAAGCAGCCAAGAGGAAAATGACTACCGTTTATTGAGGACTCCCGGGTGCACGGTTTTAAACACTTCATGCAGATTATATGCAACATGATACCTGTGATATAGGAACCATCTTCACCCCATTTTCAAATAAGGAGAAGATGAAAATGTAGAGACTGACTCAAGCAAGGTCACACAACTAGGAACTTGTAGAGCATAGACTTGAACTTTAGGCCATTAATTTATATACATTTTTCAAATTCATGGTCTTGATTTCTGCCTGTAACTTGCCATTTCCCAGAGAGCAAGAGTCTAGTTCCAGTCCTGTGGTGCAAAACTTGATACTGGGAAGGTGGTCATTGCTCAGTGACAGGTGTGCTATTACTAACCTCAAGGCAAAGTCAGCAGCTTGGTCCAGGGAAGGGAACCTAATCTAGGCTGGTATAGATCAGGAATTCATGAATGATGATTGACTGAAAAAAAGTGCAAAGTGTAGGTGGAGTCTCTTTCTGCTGGAGGAGCTGAAGACTCAGCTGAGTCTCCAGGTGACAGCAGCAGGCAAGGAAGGGTAGATGTTCAAGTACGGGGTCTAGATGGTGGAACCTTATCTGTGGGCCAGGAGCCCCAAGTTCGCATCATGGTTCTTCCAACACCTGATTGCATGGCCAAGTCTTCCTTATTTCCCTTTGCCTGAGACAAGGAGAGACTGGGGCTCTCAATAGTAGAGCATTTGCAAGATACTGGGTTTGATCTCTAGTATAGCATAAGAAAATTTAAAGAGAAGTGAGAGTATAACATGCTATACCATGCTTAGTATATTTTTCTGCCTGGGTCTAAGAAACCACTATTTATTCTAGAGTAAGCTAGCTGTTGAGGACCCAAAATTCTTGTCCCAGCACTGGTGAAGACTCTCTGTCTTCATGGAGCTGTAGAGATGGCTCAGCAATTAAGATCACTGGCTGCTCTTCCAGAGGTCCTGGGTTCAATTTCCAGCACCCACATGGCAGCTCAGAACTGTCTGTAACTCCAGTTCCAGGGAATCTGACACCCTCACACAGATGTACATGTAGGTAAAACACCAATGCACACAAAATAAAAATAAATAGAATCATTAATAATAATTTTTAAAAAAAGATTCTCTGTGTTCCAAGATCAATAAGTGGCCCAATTGGGGGCTACAAGTTAGGGGATTTGGACCCTTCCTGACCACCTCTCCCACTGCAGACGCCAAGGGGCTGAGCGACCCGGGCAAGATCAAGCGACTGAGGTCACAGGTACAGGTGAGCCTGGAGGACTACATCAACGACCGCCAGTACGACTCTCGGGGCCGGTTTGGTGAACTCCTGCTGCTGTTACCCACCCTGCAGAGCATCACCTGGCAGATGATCGAACAGATTCAATTCATCAAACTCTTTGGCATGGCCAAGATTGACAACCTGCTGCAGGAGATGCTGCTTGGAGGTCTGTAGCACTGGGGTGCCGGTAGGGGTGGGGGGGCATGGTAGGGGTGTCATCTCTTTGTAGATCTGAAGTACTGCCTCTTGAGACAGGCTTCTCATGAACCTAGCTGGCCTCTGGACTCCAGTGCTTCTTTAGTGGGAGCTTTGGACAATCTGCCTTGTCTGTGGGACCTTGGCTTCTCACCAGGAAAAATAAATAGAGATAAGGACAGAGGTCCACTTGTTCAGACGCTGAGGGTCTAGCATGAGTCAGTCAATCACTGTTTTAAGGAGGAAAGAATGTCATGGAAATAGACAATTACCAAATGAATAGCAAAACATAAAAATAGACAGGTCACGTGAGGGCCTTAAGATGAGTCGACCAAGAGATGCCTCCCTGAAGTGGTGTCTAAGACTGATGGGTACAAATTACTAGATTTTAAAATCTTGGAAAACATTCTAAGCGGAAGTCATTTGTTCTAGGCTCTGAGGTAAGATTCATGTGTGAGGTGGCATAGTTGGAGGAGATGAAGGTGGAAATTAACTAAAAAACCAAGTCATTAACAGGGCTTGATGGGTCAGGATCAAAAATTTGGGTTTTAGGCAGTGGTCCAGGGCTTTAATCTCAGCACTTGAAAGGCAGAGGCAGGCAGATCTCTGAGTTCCAGGGCCAGCCTGGTCTAAGAGTTCCAGGACAGCCAGGGCTACATAGAGAAACCCTGATTTTGAAGGAAAAAAAGGGGGGTTATACAGGAACAAACCAGTATAATTCCAACAACAGGGGGCTGTGGCAGGAGGACCAAGAGTTAGTGAGGCAGCTTGGGAAACAGGGAGACTTTGGAAGGAAATAGTAAGGGAAGGGAAGGAATGGAGAAGGAAGGAAAGGGGAGGGAATTTGTATTTTACTCTCTCTGCAACTTTTGTAAAGAGGCTGAAAATTGAACTAAAAGTTTAAAGAAGCCAGTCTGACTTAGGGGTCAATAGTGAGTTGAAGGGGGCAGGGGGCAGTGGGAGCATCCAGGAAGGGTATTCTTCCTACCATTGGAGACAATGGTAGCTTAGACTGTGGGAGTGGAGCAGGCAGAGAAGGAGACTCTCTGGATGCAGCAGATGCTGAAGCAGGGAGGGACAGAAGCAGGAAAAGGGCCAAGTCCGAATGTTTGCTCCGAGTGTTGGAAACAATGGTGGAATGATTTCCTGACAAGGAAGATGGGAAGACCTGAATCTCGGTCTAGGGTGGTGAGCAGATGACCCAGAAGATCCACCCTGGACTTGACACGGGAGATGGGTTAGAGAGGATGGCCCAGCAATAGGGGGAAAGCAGCCTTGGGCTTTCTAGCAATAGGAGTCAAAAGAGGTGCGTCACAGAAGGCTTTAGAGAAGACCAGCCAGGGGCATGGGAGAAAAGCAGGAAAATTATAGAATCCAAGAAAAGGTATGTTTTCAGGAAGACAGGGTACAATGGTGCTGAATGGGGGGGGAGGGGAAGGAAAGAGAAAGAAGGAACGGGAGGGGAGGAGTGTGGGGAAGGGGTGAAGTTAGAAACCAGCGAAGGACTAGGAGAGAGGAAGGAGTGGGAGCACGCAGGGTCCGTCTCTTTGTTGAGTGCAGCGTCGTCGGCAGGTTTGGAGCGTGGAAACCAGGTTGGCAGAGTATCACAGAGTAAGTGATGGGAAAGTGACACACAAAGGACAAGCCTCTGATAATGTTCCCTGAGAAGGGTAGCTGGGCCAGAGCTGAGGCTGGCTTGGGATGGCGACTTTAACCCCAGAATAAGTGCCCAAGAGACATTGTTGGTCGTGACGAGTAGCCTGACTGCCGCACTGAGGAAAATGGTGCTGCAAGGCTGTGGTCCTTTTCCAAGACTTCCGGTCCTGACGGATGCCCTTATTTCTATCCACAGGGTCTGCCAGTGATGCACCCCATGCCCACCACCCCCTGCACCCTCACCTGATGCAGGAACACATGGGCACCAATGTCATAGTGGCCAACACGATGCCCTCTCATCTCAGCAATGGACAGATGTGTGAGTGGCCCCGACCCAGGGGGCAGGCAGGTGGGCAGCCTGGGGTCTACCCAGCAAGGGGTACAGAGGGGTCTAAGAAAGGCGTCAGGAGAAGATCGTATCTAGATGGTGGGACCAGGGACGTACTTCTCTGTGTTTTGGAGTAAGGAATGGGGGGAGGCTGTTGGTTAAAGCTGTTTCTTGAGTGAGGCTGTGTGTTCAGCAAAGTGACCGACAGTATCTACTGAACGAGGCAATCCACCATTGAGAATGTTTGTTGGCTGAGAATTCCATTAGATAGAATCATCCACCAGGTGAAAGTGTTCACTGACATAGGTCTGTCCAGATGGATGTGGCCATCCTGTGGACAGCTGAAGAAGACTGGCAGTTAAGTAGGACTGCCCACTGTACTAGGCCATCATCTGAGGGGAACTCTCCAATGGCTGAGTCGGTCATTGGGCCAAGCTCTTCAAAGAACAGTATCATCAATGAGATGAGGTGGCCACTGGAATGAAAGGGATTTTATAGTAGTCTACTAAATGAAAGCAGGCACGCAGGTCAAAGTCGCTCACCCAACCTGTGATAGGAACGAAGCCTTTTCATTTGCATTACCCTTCTCCTAAACATTGAAGAAATGCCAGTTTTGGCCCTGTTGGCCCAGGACCTCAACTGCTGCTCTTTCTTCGAAGTCAGTATTTTTATCACATATTATATTGCCTTTGGGAACAGTCACACCTGGACCCTGGTCTGGGAAAAGCAGCCTGAGCCTCTATATCAAATGGTGGACAGATGGATGGTAGGACCTCGTAACATAGATTTTAGAGTCTGGGAGTCCTAGATGTTTGAGCCATAAGAACCTTAGGGAATACATCCATCATCTTATTTTATATAACTGTCTCGGCTGTGGAAGAGCTTCCCCAGGGCTCTTCAGTTATTCCCACAAAGGCTGGAATTTAGAGCAATTTCTATCTCTTTCTCATTTTAGCCACTCCCGAGACTCCACAGCCATCACCACCAAGTGGCTCGGGATCTGAACCTTACAAGCTCTTGCCAGGAGCCATTGCCACCATCGTCAAGCCTCCCTCTGCCATTCCCCAGCCAACAATCACCAAGCAAGAAGTCATCTAGCAAGCCGCTGGGGGTCGGGGGTTCTGCTGGCTCACACCTTCAGGGAGTGCCTGGGTGTAACTTAAGTCACAGCAAGGAAGATGTGACAAGAGGGACAGTCCCAGAGCAGCCATGGAAAGGGTGTGGGGCCCAGAAACATGGGCTGAGTGTCACATGCATTGCCACCCCTGACCCCACACCCCGGAAGGCAGGGCTTTGCCTTGAGGAGACCCTGGCTAGGAAGTGCCTGGACTATTTTTCCCAAGTTGAAGCCACTGTCTTCATCTTTCTCCGTATCTTCCCTCAGCTTCTTCACCCCTGAAGGATGACTGTCTGCAGTCGCTGCAGGACCTTGTTTAAACACAACTCCCTTCTCCTCCCCCTGCTGGGACCTCTTCCTCCCTGGTGCTGGTCAGGGGGTCTGAATACAAAGTTTCTGAGGCTGAGGCAGCTTGTGGTGTGGTACTCCCTCCCCTCTTCTGCTGTGACAACCTCAGGTGGCCCTCCATCCCATCCTCCGTTGTTACCTTCCTCAGCCATTCTGACTTCTCCAAAGCCACCTCCGGAGGCTGAGGAAGATGTAGCAACCATTTCCCCACTCATTCTGAGAACCTTCTGTAAGCACTGACCTGGGTGAGGCAGAGGGCAGGAGTCACCATCCCCTCTCTGCCAGTACCACCATGATTCTTCCCTCCAGCACGAGGCTATAACTTGGGAGTGATAAGCCCTATGGCTTTCTACAGCAGAGTCATCCAAGGGTGACAATTGCAACCGGATGTGGAGAGAGGTGGGAGCCATGGGAAGGCATCTGGAAAGAGGCAAGCTCTGCCTCTGTCCTTTGACAGAGAAGGTGGGCTTCTGGTTAGCACAGTAGATGACACAGACCAGTTTATGGGAGGAGAGCCCGAACAAAGGCCCGGAAGTAAAGAAACATAGCATGGGAGGGAGACAATGAAGAAACCAGTCTCCAAGGAGCTGAGACAGGGCACACGCTGGGAACCATGGAACCTTGAATGCTAGAATGAAGTCGGGAGTAGCTGCAGTGTGGACTGTCAAAAGATGAATACAGCATCCTGAAGAGGTAGGACTGCTAAGAGGGAGCAAGGAGGCCAGGCTAGGAGTGAGACTAAGGGATGGATCAGAGTTCTCCCCAGGGCCTGCCAAGCTCTTCTGTACTCAAGGATGACACCGTAGGCATTTGACATCCACCATCTCATAGAATCTTCAGAAGATGAAAGCAGAGGATCTTAATTGTCTCATAAGAATGAGGCTATTGTCTCCCCTGTGATGGAATTCAGAGATTTTCTCATCCTTTACTGGTGTCAACCCTAGAGGCTTGCTCTTTCCAGAACTGGCCAGCTAGAGGGTGTTCTAAAGTCCTTTGGATGTCAAGAATCCTGTTTGCTGCGAAGTAGTGAAGTGGATTCATGACTCCAGTCCTCTTTTTCCTCTCCTCTCCCCCAGTATGAGTGAGGAGCAGCAAGGGTGTGGTTCCTAGAAGAAGGACCTCTCTAGTCTGGCCATCTAGGGCCGAGATGGTCTGGGTGAGGGGCAGGAGAGGGATAAGGAAGCCTAGGTCAGGGTTACTTGAGGAGCTACATTCAGGACACATTCTGGAACCGCTAATCCCCATCAGTCAGCGTTTAGCCCTGCCTGACTCTTGGTGGCTATGAGTGGCCTCTACAAAGTGCCACTGACCGATGGGAACATAAGCAATGTTTCCACGACTGGAGGTGTGATAGATGGGAGGAACGAACTATGAGACTGAATACCACAGTCCATCAAGGCTGACCCTTCTGAGTAGGTGTCTAGCACCCCAGTGCCCAAAAGTGCCAGCTTTAGTGTTGGTCCTCTGTAAAAGGGTATGGAGGAATCCTGAGGCCACCTACTTAAAGAAAAAATACCCAGAGTCCAGGATGGTCAGGATGAGTTGTCCTTAACCCCTCAAGCTAAGCCCTGGGTCTTGGAACATACTTTTCCATGCTCAGAGCCCTCAAGCCTTTCTTGGCCACCCTCACTCCGGTGCTCCCAGGGAATCCAGGCAGATTGTTCAAACTGCTCTGCAGGAGACAGGGCAGCTGAATTCCTTCTGGACATTGTCTTACCCACTCTTGTCCCTCCAATCCCAGTGATGTTCATGCAAGGAGTAGGTATGTTGGCCTTCAGTGGTAGCAGTCTTCTGGGGCAGGGGTCAGCCATTGCCCCATCCATCCTTTCCGAAGGAGAAATCCATTCTGCATTAATAACTATTACAATATGGGAAAAGTGAAATAAAGAAAAGTTTACTCTTCTGACTACAAGCTGAGGACAACAACTATGTTGGAGTTGTTTTTTTCTGAGTTTTGGTCCTAATACATAATATGATGGACTAAGTACAAGTTGGAGGCAGACAAAGGTGGGTACTGCAGTTTTTTCCCCTGAGACACCCTCCTTTCTCAGGGAACGTTCAGAAACTTCCAGAATTCAAGAGGCTTTCCTGAGAGTGGATGCAAAAGAAGGGAGGATCAGAAGTGGATGTCCTCTATTTCTTGTGATAACCATGCCATTTGCCTTTGCTAGAACTCTCTGTGACCTGTCCTGGTAAATAGGAGTCATAAACTTCACACCAAGCATCTGTAAAGTAGACTGTAACCCCATCAAACTAGTCGGCACCTTCCTGTGGGTGTGCAAACATTTACGGGGGTCCCATACCGATTCCCAAATCTCATCATTACTGCCCCAGGGGTCAAAAAAAAAAACCCAATAACAGTTCCTGCTCCTGTGTTTTAGCATTAGTTTATCCAACAAAATAAATGGCATGTATGTTTTCTAAGTCCTTGTACTGGTGTCTTTTTTCCCCTGTTAGAATAAGGATAGTCTGGGTAGTCACAGTGGATAAGAATGCTTCCTTTTCAGTTGTCCTGTGAAAAGGCTACACTTTATGGATAATTTCACATCATATAGATGGGAAAACTGAGGCTCATGGCAGTTATTTTCTTTGAAAGCCTGAGGTAGAAGTCCAGTCCTGCCCTACCCCACCCGTGTGTGTGTGTGTGTGTGTGTGTGTGTGTGTGTGTGTGTGTGTGTGTGTGTGTGTGTTGGAATTTTCATTCGGAAGCCTGCACATGTGTATGTATATATATGGGCTGATGCCCAGGAAGGGCAGAGAATGGCTTCTTGTGTTGTTTCAAGGGCATTGTCTGCCTTGTCTCAGAAGATGAGGTCTTTTGCTGACATGGAGTTCATGGATTAGGCTAGGCTAATGGCCAGCAAACCCTAAGGATCTACTTGTCTCCATCACTGGGATTTGAATCATTTGCCAGGAGCTAGGGAGATGGCTCAATGGTGAAGCGCACTGACTACTCTCCGAGAGGACCAGGGTTCAATTCCCGGCACCCACATTGTAGCTCACAACTATCTATAGCTCCAGTTCCAGGAAATCCAACTTCCTTTTCTGGCCTCCAAAGGCACCAGACACAAATGTGGTGCACAGACATACATGCTGGGAAAGCCCGTGCACATTAAATAAGCATGTGATTCTATACCCAGCTTTTTGTTTTGTTTTGGTTTTTCGAAACAGGGTTTCTCTGTATTGTTTTGGAGGCTGACCTGGAACTCGCTCTGTAGACCAGGCTGGTCTTGAACTCACAGAGATCCTCCTGCCTCTGCCTCTGCCTCCCAAGTACTGGGATTAAAGGCGTGCCGGCATAAACCCAGCTTTTATATGCAGGTTCTGGGGATTGAACTCTGGTCTTCGTGCTTACAAGATAAGCACTTTACCAACTGACTTATTTCCCCAGCCCCAGTCCTGGCTTCTTAGCTCAGGGTATCAGGTATATGGGGAGAGTGAAAATCAGTCTTCCCCCATAAAGAGAGAGAGGGCAGTGGAGAGATTGGGAAGAATAGCCAGAGGTTCCAAGATGGTGCTCTCTTGGGGGCCACATCAACCTTTCAGACACATGGACACCAGGATGTCATAAGAGCAAGAGCAATCAAATGATGTGTGTGCCAATCTCAAGGCTATTTTGATCCTTTCCCCTTAAGTAGATGGCCTGATGGCCAGCCCCTGCAGATCACACCCTCACATCCATGCTGCGGGCAGCTTGTGGAAGCTGGGCGTCTGCCTCTCTTCCCAGCTGTGTTCCCAATATCATTACAAGTGGCCACAATGGGGCATCTCAGCGTCACAGCTGACCAATGAGAGATCAGGGCTTTTCTCATGGAAAGCCCATTTATCCAGCATCCCGGGCCATCCAGGGATGGAGAAACCTTCTAATGCAGCGACACTGGTAGCCTTTTGTGGTCAGTGCCATGTAGGCCTGTCACTCCGCCTCTGCAAGCCCCAGCTGTAAACAGGAGCACTGCTCGGAGGGATGCTACAATCACACAGGTTTCTGGAGAGGACTGACCATTCATCTTCTATCTTCAAGAGCACCCACTAACTGCCTCTCAGAGGCCACTTCCACACTCCCGTCCCTTCCCTTAACCCTGAACACCAGGAAATGCTTTGATGATGTTGCAATAAGCCTTCTCCACTCCTGCCAACATGGCTGTGGGGGTGGGGGTGGGGTGGGAGGAGAACATTTCGGCCTTAAATTGTGCTTAATAAATCCATATCAAAACCATAAACCTCAGACTGCCATAAATTCCCCAACCTTGTTTCCTCCACCTCACCTGCCCTTTGCCCTCCGGGCTCAGCGTAGGCAGCCAGCGCCTCAATCTCGTTCCCATTTCAGTTGCTGAACAATATCAGGTAAAGTGAGAAACAGAAGTACCCTCATTCAAAGTTGAGAAAAGCGAGGGAACTATGGCCTGACTGAGACCTGGGCCTTCTGGGAGGGTTCTTCCAGTCAGCCCTTCTCTAAAGGTTCTTCCCCAAGACACAAACTAGGGGCTTCTTGCCCCATGATCCCCAGCAGGGCCCTAGTGCTCACAGTAGGACCAGAAACCCAAAGAGCACTGAGTGATCGGCAGGCAGCTCAAGGAGCCAAAGAAAGTCTCAGGTAGCCTGAGTGACCTAACACCTCAAATTGATGAGATTGTCAACTTCCTCAGTTGTAGAGCCCAGATCACCTTTGATGGACACTTCTCCAGTCTGTGTATCCTATGTAAAGTCCAAGGTGAGGTCTAAGGGACCAAAGCCCCAGAATCCCTTGCAACTGTTTGATGATGGAGTGGGGACATGGTGTCAATCAAGTACAGTGTTCCTGGAATGCTTCCTCTTTGCCTAGCTTGCTGGACATAATGAAATTCCACCACTCTCTAGGGCAGTTATTGTTCTGTCATCTAAGTGAGGGAACAGGCTCAGGAGAAAAAGGGGACTTGCCAAAGGCCCTTAACCCATGTGACAGCTGATCAGGTGTCCATTGACTGATTCTAGAGGCCACCATGAGGACACTGGGGAGCCATTGATGACTCAGTCTTTGTGCAGTGGACACAGTGGGGAGAACACTGGAAAGTGACAAAG